AGTTTATTGATCAAGTACATTCATTATCAGTTAGACATGTAGAATCTGACATGTGTTGACAAACTCACGTGACGGCGTACTGAGCGAATGAGAGATATTCGACCAGAACGTCCAGACCTCGGTTCTCCTCGTTCAGGAACTCTCTGACCCACCTGCAGAAAGATAGACAGACAGGTTAGGTAGAGAGAGAGAGAGAGACAGGTTGCTAAAGATAGGTCAGAGAGACAGGTACCCGATATGATTCGTACGAAGAGAGATCTCGAGTTCTCTGAGAGTTTGAGTCGACTCCTGAACTCGTCTTCTGAACTTCTGCAAAGAGACAGGAAGAGAGACGGGTAGGTTTATGACAGACAGTAACCTCTGGTGGGCAATGATGTTAAAATGTCTTCGAATGAAATGTAGATGTTAAACTACATTTCCCAGCTCACCTTGCGAGTGACGGCCGGGTCTAGGAAGCCTCTGAGTTTCTGAATGTAGGTGTGAGGAGGATTCTTCACCTGAAACCGCTCCTACATCAAACACACAACTGGATTGCATCACATCAGACATTTGGGCTCGCCCACAGTCAGATGGGATTCAAATGAAACTTTTATGACTGTTCATTATGTTAGTGAGATAAAACGAGATCTAAACAAGGTTATTGTAAATATCACAATACCAATGATAAGAATCACAAAAATCAACATCACAACAACACATTAGTAGAGTGAATAAAAAACATTTAAATCCTGTTTCCTTAGCTCAAAGACATGATACAGGGGCCCGAGCCCGTCATAAAAACAGCAAAACCGAAACACAAACATATGATGAGGCCCCCAGTGTTTCGGTTGATAGATTCAGAAAACTGATATTTATTGAGGGGGGGGTTGACTATGTTTCTAGGTAACACAGTCTTTAAAAAGGTGTGATTGGTTGATCAGCTGATTGTTTAAACTGTGATGTCACAAAAATCTATATGAACTTTAAAGGTACATATAAATGTGTTTCTGACCGTTGACCTCCATAACCCTGGTTACAATTCAAACTCATTTATTTTATTTGTACCACCTACCTGATCACAAATCAGCTCCCACTTCTTCTCGTTGTCATAGGAACGCAGAAGACGCACCTTATCGGGAGGCAGGTTCATTGAATTCTAAAACACACAAACAGTTAACACCTTAATATAAGCCATAAATTATCGCTCTCTCTCTCTCTCTCTCTCTGTGTGTGTGTGTGTGCATCATGGTTCACAAAATCTTCGGTTCACGGTTTTGTGGTCGCGGTTGTATAGTCAGCTTAAAACTGAAAGAATGAAGCAGTCCGACATTTGATACATCATTGTGACAGTCTTCGGTTAAATGTAGGTGAGATTCTGGCATTGCAAGACAGGAGACATTGCTAGTTCCAACATGTGCTTCATTTATTTGGCAAACAAAGTTTTGTATCATATCGTGCATTGTAAATTATGTTTAACAAAGAAGCATAGGCTCTATCAACACTAGACTTAGGTCTCTGCATATCTTTGGCTATGAAATATCCCACTCCTTTAGTTATGCATTTCACCCTATCTGACTTGTCTCACCGTATGGCTGTTTAAAAGCTGAGGGGAGTAGAAGTTGTCCTGTCGACTCTCTCCCTCTCCTCCTTGCGCTGCCAATTGTCTCACTGGGATGATGTCTCTGCAGGTGAGCTGACTTGTTGGTCGTGTTGCTGTTAGCTTAAACAACACGTGTTGCACAATGCTTGCACACTGTCGCATTTTTGTCAACAACTTTCTTACCGCCGTCATTGTAGGTCACTCTAAATGCAAAGTGGTCCCACACATCAGACCTATAAAGTGCTGTTGGTGCATCTTCTAACTCTGGTTCTTTACCACTCGCCATACCCACACTATTCTCCACAACAACTGACCCAATACTCTTTTAATATCTGCTACACCCGGCTACGCTGCTTCGCTGCTTCTTGTTGTTTACTACTGGTGGTTGGCTTTAGGCGCAGTACCGCCACCTTCTGATCTGGAGTGTACGCGCTTCACCTATGAGAAAAAGGAGTAGCGCATAAACCGAACGCAACACGAGAATTGAACCGAGTCAGTCGAACCGAACGGTTCGGACGGTTTTCATAAAACGTTCCATCCCTAGTGTGTGTGTTCATGTTCCCCACTTGCCCCTGTGTGGGTGAGTCTCAGGGTTAGGCAGTATCTTAGCTTTTCAGGACACAAATATCAGTTGTTGTTCCTGGAATCTGGAGTCACTCTTTTGGGGGATGACAGCCCGAGGTGCTCTGGTCACCATTGACACCACCTCAGGATGCTGGATGTGGGTGAAACCCTTCATGCTTTGTCTTGATATCAGGTTTTTATGTCAGCAAGATATCCGATAATCAGCAGGACGTATCTATTGATGGCTCAGATGTTGCTCTTTCCATTCAGCTCACTCTTCAGGACCTGTTGTTCTGTCTGTAGGTTCTTGACAGTGATTGACTCACTCTTTGCCTCTTATTGTTGCTATACATCCTGATGATGTAGATAAGATAGATTTCTGGCTCATTCTTCACGTACAGCCTAATGTCAATGTAGAGAAGGCGGCTGACGGTTGCTCCACGTTTGTGCTGGTATCCATATCCACTCTGTGTTGATGTGACTGAGGAGTCAGACCTGTGTAGAACAGCTGTGAGGACAGCATCTCCACTGTCTCTGCTGCTCTTGATGTTAATTTGTGTCTCATTGAGTTAATGAGGAAGTTCCGAGTATGTACAGATGTCGTTCCTAATATTCCAGGATCATGTGTGCAGCATCAAGTCATAGTTTTCCTTCTTGTTCGTTCAGGTGGTGCCTACACTGGTCTGGCCGTACAGTGTCATTTGACTGGTCCATCAACCAGTAGGCGGTGCTGATTCGTTTCTGTGTGTGTGTATACACACACAATATATATATATATATATTATGTGTGTATACACAGTGTATAGATGATTGTGTGTATACTATTGTGTGTGTATATATATTGTCTGATTGCTGTGGGTATGTTTTGTTAAGTGAGTATATAGCGTGTAATCTGTAATCGCTCTCTCCCTGTGTGTGTGTGTGTGTGTGTGTGTGTGTGTGTGTGTGTGTGTGTGTGTGTGTGTGCGTGCGCGCACATGTACTCACCAGTGCAATTGAGAACCGTTCCTCCAGCTCGGCTGGGTCGGGCATTGGGAGTCGGACTGGAGCTGCTCTGGAGCGGATCACAGCCAACTGGCTCTCCATGCTCTCTGTGTTACCCATCTCACACACACAGAACACACCCACCTACAACACACACACACACATGTGGTCGGCCATCACCGACGGGCAGTTGAGGTAGCTGAGGAGGCCTGTCTCTCTCTCTCTCTGTCTGTCTCTTTGTCTGTCGTCCTTGCTGCCTCCACTGCTGCTGCTGAGGATGATGATGATGAGGAGGAGGAGAAGCTTCGTTCTGCTGTGGTGTGTGAGTGTTAATATGAAATGTGTGTGTGTGTGTGTGTGTGTGTCGGATCAGCCGGTTAATCCTCCCCCTCTCCTCCCCCACATGAAGAAAGAAAGAGAGAGTCGTCCTCCCTCCTCTTTGTCTCTCTCTCTTTCTCACTCTCCTCCAGCTCCAGTCTTTGTCTACCTCGCTCAACCCTCCCTCCTTCTGCTCACTCTCTGCCTCATCAGACAATGAACCCTCTGCTGCCACAGGCTCCGCCCACCACACTCTCTTAAACACAAACACACACACACACGCACACACACATTAATACCGAATAATAGAAATTATTATTTTTTTCTTTAACAATTATCTATCAGCTTTAAGATAACACTAATAATTATTCATATTAATAATCAATATTACAATGTTTACTGAATATGAGATTTAATTAATCCTGATCAATAATTTTTTTCATACAATTATTATATTTTACTGTCTTTTTTTCCATACACTATAAAATATTGAACGTCATTCAGAATTGCTTTTATGTTTGGGTTAGAATAGTAAAAGGTCAAATTTAAAATAAACATATAATGCTATTTATTTTAATGAAATGACAATGATTCAAATAATTTAAATTCTTAATGTAAAAAAACATGTTGGATAATAAATTATTAATTCTACACCAATGTAACATTTGAAAATTAAGTATTTGAAATCAGGAAACATAAATAACTGATAATTAATAATGTTAATGGTGCATTAATACATTCATTCATTACAAATAAACATTATACAGATCAATCCAGAGTGTTTTAGTAGGATGTTCATTGGTTTTCATTACTCAGTTAAACAAGTTGAATTTATTAAGCAGATTATTTTATTTCAACAGTTTCTTGTCATCTCCTTTGACATCACATCCATTTCAAGTCTTCACAATAAATGTCTGCCAAGTGTTCTAGGAGAAATTATCTATTTTCCTCCATTGGGATGCTGTTATTGTGAAACACTACAGGAAGCCAGTTTCTGTCACAACCCTGACACATGAATGAATCCCCTAACTAATTTCAAAACAAACAGCTGTAGTAATTTATAGTTATTAATAATTGTAGAAATATTTATCAGTTAGTGAGTTATTTATATATTATAGCTTATTGAAGGTAAAAAAATATGTTAACACTTTAAATGTATTTGTGTATATATATATTTGTATACTAAAATATATAAATTATTGACAAAATGTTGTCATATCAGTTGAACCGAACTGTTTGGGTTTCAGCACCAGGGACAGAGTCACCGCAGAGAGACAGACAGCTCATGGCTTTTCATTTTAAACAGCTCTTCCTCCTCCTCTATTGCAGAGATTCTTGTGCCTGCACTGTTCTTGTCATCATGGAAACAAACTCACAGAAATTGGATGCTCTTGGGCCGGAGAAGCTTGCTAGACGGAAGCCGCTGGAAGGAGGAGGAAGAGGAGAGAGAGACAATACCTGATGATGCTGCGCTCAGGTGGGGGACGCTTTGTGGCCAAGTTAAGAAATGGTTATGATTTATTAAATGATCTTGATGACACCCTTTGCTTCATCTGGCGGCTGGGCATTTGAAATGGGAAGCCAGGGGCAACGCACTGGCCAACGCCATTAATGCTCTCCACTTTCACATATCCCCTTAGTCACACAGGCTTTGTTGAAATGACTTTCTACGTTTTTGATAAGTTTACTTAAAAGTAAGTCAAAGTTTGTTGATATCATTTATTCTTGGGTTTTCTTTCGTACGTGTTTCTAATTTGTGAGTCCCGCATAGATGTCATATGATTGTTCAATTTTAGTCATATTCTTTAGATCATTGATGAGGTACTTTTTTTTGTCTCTCAGATATTTTTATTGAATTTTACATGTATCACATCACATATACATACATTTTCATTAGGGGTGTAACGATTCATCTTCTATGTATCGATTTATATTCCTACGATCCAACTACATCGATCTGTGCTCGGCAAGTTGGCCTTCCGGACGACATATATCGATCTAACATCGTTTTAAAAGGTAATCAATCGATTGTATCGATACTAGGAAATAACGCGTTGGATTTAAGCACGTCAGACTTTATATGGATGTGGTTTTTTAGACCTTTTAATGATAAAGGCGTTAAACATGTTTATATCCATAATTTATACCTGATTCCCTTACAAGAAACAACAAGAATCTAGGAAACTTCACCTGTACTGTCCAGTATCCAGGTATGTATTTCAGTCACACTAGTTGAATTTTTAGCTAAAAAGTTACTGAATCGATTTCAAGTCACTGAATTGTTTCGAATCGTATTGTTCTAAATGAACCAATATCATCCTTGAATCGTTTTGGCAGCCACGAATCGTCATTCGAATCGAATCGTTAAAACGAATCGTTACACCCCTAATGTTCATACATTATACATTTTTCAGAGTGATTCAACATAAACATCCCTCCCCTCCCACTAACCACACCTACAAACCATGATTCCTGAGGGGTATTATTCCTGGAGTGTTGTAGGGAACTGCTGGAAGTCAAGGATTGAGTTGCAAGATAAATAAATAATAAAAATAAAATAAGTAAATAAAAATACAAACAGGATGATTAGATAAATAAATAAAGATAAATAAGTAGAAGAAGGCAAATTTAGACATTGACTGATGCAGACACTAACTGATAGAAACGGACAAAAAGCAAAACAAAGGAAAGGAATAGGGGCAGATACTTCAATTTGACTTAAGGTTCTCAAAGTATTTCAGGAAAGGTCCCCATACCTTCTGGAACTTCTTTCTCCAGTCCCAAACTGAATAATGGATCTTTTCAAGGTCTAGACAGGACTTGATGTCCCTTAACCACTGAGTGTGTGTGGGCGGGGCAGCATCCCTCCACCTCAATAGAATCGCACGCCTAGCCAAAAGCGAGGCAAAGGACAGTGTGTGGCTTTCGGTTGGAGTGAGGCCGTGTCATCTTCACCAGTGGTGCCGAAAAGGGCAATCTTTCCAGGCTTGGTCCAAAACATGTGAATAAGCGAGGTCTCACCTCTCTTAAATTTATCACATAAAGGATCAATGTAAGAAAGGATCAACGTCCGGTAGATAATTTGGCTTTAGATATATGAGCCCTGTGCATCACCTTAAACTGTAACAGGCAGTGAGGTGCACAGAGAGATGTTGTATTTACCAACCTGATAATGGAATCCCATACATCGTTTGACAGTTGAAAGTTTAAATCCTGCTCCCAAGCAGTTGTAATTATGTCCAGAGGAGCCTGTTTTATGCCCGTCAGTTTGTCATAAATGGCCGATATTAACTCCTTGCCCGATGGATGCAAACCAAGTAACATATCGGCGGTGGTCGCAGTAGTTGCCTCAGGGAAACTAGCCATCTGAGAATGGAGAAAGTGTATGCCTGCAGGTATCAGAAAAAATGAGTGTTTGGTAGACTAAACTTTTCTAATCTACGGGCCAAATCTTTTGCCAAAATTTTGGCAACAACATTTAGTAAGGAGATTGGCCTATAGGAGGAGCACTYTGTTGGGTCTTTACCTTTCTTTATGATAAGAGTGATGCATGCCTCATACAGTGTTGCTGGGAGTTTCCCTTGCTTGAAAGTCTCTGATAACACTGAACATAGATGAGGGGAAAGTAATGAATGAAATATTTTGAAAAACTCCACTGGGAACCCATAAGGTCCAGGGGATTTCCCAGATTGCAATGAGGAGATAGCAGAAGCTATCTCCCCCTGCGATAAAGGCTCGTCTAACCTAGTCTCATTATCATGGGTATAAGTGTGGGGACCTCTAAATGACCTAGGAAATTATCCATCAGCGTACTGTCATTTGGGAGGTCAGAAGAGTTAAGTCCAGAGTAAAAATTCCTCAATGTGTTGTGAGTTTAGAGGGATCTGAGTTGATGTTACCATCATCCATCTGGATTTTTGTGATGTGCTGTTTTGCTTTAAATCCCTTCAGCTGATTGGCTAGCATTTTACCAGATTTGTCACCATGAACATAAAACAGACTTTTGCTCTGCAATAGTTGGCGTTCAATTGCATGTGTTGAGAGGAGATCGAGTCTAGTTTGAAGTTCCACACGTTTTTTATATAGTTCAGGGTTATTGATTTGAGCGTATCTTTGATCCACTTCTTTAATTTGAATAGATAGATCAATCGTTCTTTCTGAGCTCTCTTTTTCATATTTGCGCTAAAAGAAATTATTTGTCCCCTTAGGTAAGCTTTCAGAGCATCCCAAATGGTCAGGCTGGGGGTTTCAGATGATGCATATTTGTATCAAAGAAAAAGGTTATCTGCTCCTCCATGCATTTCACAAAGTCAGTATTGGACAGTTAGATGAGGTACTTTTAAGGTTTCTAATATTATATACTACACATGAGTAGTGGCCCCAGGATCATTGGGTGTTTCAGCCATTATCACTAGATACCCTCACCAGAGGAAGGCCAGGGTTGAGCAGGACTATTATGGGAGAGGCAGGTTTTTAAGGAATTCTGTGTTTTCCCCACATACTGGTAATATAATGCTTTTTTTTGGTAGTGTTTACCACTAAAGTTATCTCCCAGTGTGGTGTTAGCTAGTGTCTCTAGGATGTAGGGAGTCTCTTTCACTATTTGTTGCATTCCAAGGAGGTATAAATAATAAGCCTTTCTTTAAAAAATTGTCTTTGGTTTGGCATTAGTTCATAGTGGGATGATGAGTACACTGGAGGAAAATATTAGACACAAGATTCCTGAATTTACTGAACGAGAAGGACATGTGATAATAGATTGTAATGGAAATTTTGTAATTTGTGTATGTGATATTGAATGAGCAGAGGTGTGTGTGT